AGTATATAAAAACTAATAGTTACTACTTCTTTAATTATGTTTCACGGTGCAAGTGTGATGACTCTATACTGATTGCAACTCAATGCACAGGCCACCCTGGATAGCACCCTTTAGTTATTGATTGCCAAGCGGCGTCAATCTTGGCATCGCGGGTTCAATTCTCAGAAATCTTTCTTTTTCTTCTTTTTTTAGCTTCAATATCTTGCTTTACGTTCAATGTTTCCTTTTCCGTGAAAGAAAAATGTTTTTGAGCCGGAATTTTTTCTTCACGGAAAAGGAAACATTGACCGTAAAGCAAGATATTGAAGCTAAAAAAAGGAAGAAAAAGAAAGATTTTTTAATAACGGGAGAATGTAAATCCAGTCGAAAAACAATCGAAAAATGTCATTAATGTAGAATTATAGATACTTTACTCTCTTTTTTCGTTTAAGCGACTGGATTTACATTCTCCCGTGATTTCGGTAAAACTCCCGGACATATAGTGTTCCGTGTCCGGGAGTCCGTCCAGAGACGTGAAAAATCTAAATGCCACGTCCATTGTATACTATGCCGAGCGGCGAAGAAGCTTTAAATTGCCAACTGAATTTGGTCAAAAAGAAGACTATCTACACTTTAGTACAGCAAAGTATCTTTGATTAGACTGGATTTACATTTTACTGTGATTTTGGTGAATTATTTTGACTCACGGACATATAGTTTTTCGTGACACTTCGTAATTTCATAGCGTCAGAAAATGACTGCAAAGTGTGCACGTGTGAAAAAGACTGCGCAATAATGTTGCTTGAGATGTAAGCCCTTCTGAAGTTTAGGTTTAATACTAAACTTTGAACAAACTCTGTTTCGTGACCACCCATTGTATATCTTGACACCCTGTATCCTGTGGGGGGAGGGCTACGGCCAATTTGGTAACAGGTTTTTGTCTAATGAAGTCGTATTGGAAAGATCTGRCTTTGTTTCAAAGTGTTTCCACAAAATTAGCTTACAAATGAATTGAACGACCACAATTTTTGCACCCAGATTCTTAACATTTAATCATGAATAAATGACTATACAACTGAAACAGATTACGAAATTATTACTTACATGAATAGATTAGGAAAAAGGAGAAAATGAAGATTACGTATACTTACAAACTTGTGTTCTTTTCGTCCTAAAAGTTCAGCGTCAACTAAATTTAATCATCATATTCTTGTCTATTTAGGGCGAATGTTATATATCCCAAGGGGGCTTATCAAAACTAATAAAGCTTAAATATAATATAGGTCATGTCCAAAACAATACCCGTTCTTCTTTGCAGTTCTCAGTTGTACTTTCTTCTTCCTCTCCTACTGGTTTTTCGTTCCACTCACAACTGATCGACAAGAACTCACGCAAGAACTTGTCCCTGTGGAGAAGAAAGACCAAGACCAAAACGAGAACGTCGAAGCAGCAGCGACCGAAGAGCCCCCGGAATCACCAAACAGCAAAGAAAGCACCAARCTTCTTGGAGTTGGCAAAGAATCAGAAATTTGATRATTATTGAATGTGCGCGCTCGTCTAGCTGCGTTTAATTGCCTGCGGGCTCATAATTTGTGATGTCACACGTCTAGACCTTTGCGTTTYGACTTAAATTTTGACTTCGTTATTGAAGTTTTTAGKATGTTTTTTTTTTAATTCGAYGCTGCAGGACACAGCAAAATGAAAGTTTATAAGGAAAATCAACTCGTTCTTTGCAGCTCAACGGAATACTRGATTCTACAAAAAGCACAAATGTTGAGAAGCTCACCTRMTTGTWTTCGRYTACGAMAATATGAGCAAAAATAGGGTACAAAGAGAAAATTTGGAGTAGCGACGAGGATGATTGTCAKAGCTTTCATGAATGGTAACAGGCCATACTAAAATCTGTATTATTGAATTTATCAATTCATTTTTCAAACCTTTAACTTTATCATTTTTAACTTTTTGACATTATACAGCCAACACTCATGACACATAGATAACTCGTGTTACGACTAGTATTTTCACTTAGTCAGTCATATCGCGCGCGGCTTGAGCAAACATTTGGCCTGCGCAAGACATTAAAGTGGCGGCACAAGATTTAAATTCTAAAGTTCACAATTTGTGAGCATCGTCTCGCCTCTTTGTCTCAAAAGGTTCACAATAGTGGCTTTGAATAAACCAATCACGTTGTAAGGTACTTTTTGCCACCGCACTTAGCAAAATCATTTTTTCACATCTTATCAATGACACGTTATCGGTTAAGTTGGTGAAGAGCTGTATTTCACCAAATATATATACTAGCACATGTAAATAGTTTTTTATTCAATTCATCGTYGCAGCTTAGAAATTCATAAAGTATTTTATTCCTAATGATTGTCATTATTTTGTCACTGAACAAGGGATGAAAGCCTGAAAAAAGRTCAAGCGCCAGTTAGGCAAGCGACGCCATTTTTCATTGACTTGTTGAATTGAATTTGCGCGCCAAAATGCAAATCGCTAGCGCTCTTATGACGCGAGTGGCGTCTGAAGGGCGCGATCTTCCCGCGATTAACTCAAACCACCAATGGRCTTCCCTAAATACCTATAATTCTTATCACATAGCTCCTCATCAATCAAACCATGAAACTTGCGTTGTTTCGGTCTTATCTCGACAAGACTAGCGCGCAAGGTCATCTGCCGACAAGTCTTGCATACTACAAAGAAATCTCATGTCTCTTGCTGATATTCTCCATTGAAGCGATTTTCAGATAGATATTGACATTACTTTTATCATGAAAATCTTGGGCGTAGTGCTTGTTGCTGTCTTCGTTGTTGTGCAAGAGAATTGCTTGGGATTTCCTCAGAACAGTGAGTAGTTGACTGTTTGTAACCAGAGTTTCCATGTWGCCGAGTASACAAGAAAAAAYTTTACTTTGCAACTCAAAGAACAAAGCAATATCTATATATTTCTTCAATTCAGATATCTGAAGTATGAGAATTCTTCTGTGATATTCATATTTAGGTTTTCGTAGTTTTGGTCAGTATATTTCTCTCATATATATTATTGATTTTTATCGAGCCCGGCGTCAAACTGCAAAAACTGCGGTTATCTTCAGTCTAAGGTAATAACTCAGTTACAATACTCTCGCCGCCGTTATCGTATTAGAAGATCTTGCAACAGGGTAAAAATGAGGTGTATGGAAAAGTTGTTTAAGAAAATCGCGAAGTAAGGTCGGAATTTGGGAAACATTGAAGTGTTTACTTTAACTCGCTCTCGCCAAGTGCCTCCTCACCTTCCCAGTGGGGGAGAATTGGGTCAATCCTAATCTGTATTCAAAGCCTGCGTCACTTCCGGACGTTTCCTGCTGTAGCAGTAGGCAAAAATCCGGATATGACGTAGGCAAGGCTTCAATAGTGTCACGTAACGCCTTACCCGTTACTTCCGCGAGGAAATTATCGAAACTGTAAATTCAACGGCCTGTGTCACAGAGACGAGAAAGTATCATGGCTCAAATTAATTAGGTTCGTCCCCAGACTACTCTCTTTCTTGGTAAGGAAGAGAGTAGATTAGTGACGAGGGTAGGAGTGAGTATCAAGCTCTTTCGAATTAGGGAGTTGCGGCGTCTCTCCCGCAAAATTGCGATTCAAACCCAAAGGGTCTGATGCTTAGCTGCAATTGCAAAGTCCCATCTCTGAATGTTTTTATACATTGGCTTTCAGCTTACTGGCTACAGGGTCCACCGGGACCCCCAGGACCTCCTGGACCACCCGGGCCAGCGGGTCCCCCTGGCCCTCCTGGCCCTGAAGGACCACCTGGAAGACCCGGAGACGCTGGTCCTCCAGGAAGTCCTGGAAAAGATGGCAAACGAGGTTTAGGAGGTAAAAAACAATTTATGAACTCTGATCTTAGACAATCTAACTGCATGCAATGACTTCCAGTTCTTTCTCTGTTTGTTCCGAGAGGGCTTTTTGTCCTCTAGGATCTGTGGTTTTCCTCCTACACATTTGGACACACACGCGCCATAGTCACCTATTCTTCCTCTTCGATACACAAGCTCCCCTCAAGAGGTTCCATGCCTACTAGCACATTCTCAAACTATTGCCGCTTTTTTTGCCTCAACTCTAGGTCCACCTGGTCTTACTGGTTTGCCAGGACGACCAGGTAGGAACGGTCGAGCAGGAAGGAATGGAAACCCTGGTAAGGATGGTCGCAGGGGAAGGATAGGACAGACTGGTCGGCGTGGTGCCATTGGACCAGCAGGACCCCCGGGACTACCCGGTCCAGCAGGACCMCAAGGACTACCCGGWATTCCAGGACAGAAAGTCGTGATTTCTCAAGTTGGATAAGAAACAACTTTGGACAATTCATTTTGTATAATTAATTATTGAAATGCATATAGTTTTTTAAGATATACACCACACCTCAGTCTTAATCAATATACAACTCAATCACAGAACGTTTCATGTTCGTTCAGCATAGATGTCAGTAGTATATATGGTGCAWTCTACGCCAAAYAAAGGGTTTGGGTCAAGMGTTGATCCTGTATGCTTGGGCTTCCTGTGTCAGCCATTRATTCATTATTCATACCAGCTCCACGTCGTTGCACTTCAGCCAAACAATCCACACTTGATGAGATCTTTTCAAGAAATGACTAATTTTGGTAATAATAATTGAGTAATGATGGCGTGCAAGTTTGCATTCGAGAAAAATGCATACTCTTAGGTCTAAAACTGATATTGTGACTGACAACAGCTAAGAACCCATAGAATAAGCCACTTTTGATATTTTGGTTGACTACCTGCCCATGAAAGAAATAGAAGACGAGGCTCCGGGAAAACAAAAGGATTAGCTATTGTTTTCAATTATTTGGTGCATTTATGGTTGGTCAAAATATCGAAAGTGGACCTTACACGCTTTTACAAATGACGTAATTCTTATAAGCATGTTTAATAAATACAGCTATTAAAATAGAGCGAGAAATATTGCAAGTTAAAAACCCAATTCATAACGATCGATTTCCATGTGTATTGGTTTCCATTCTGAATTCATCTTATCATTCCTTCGTTTTTTCATTTAAATTTCAGATTCTTTCATTCATGTCGTCTCGTCTTTCATGTGAAGCTTAGTGCACTTAAAGCACCAGTAAAAATTGAACAGGGTATAAAAGTTGTTTYATAAGCAAACATGACATGTCACTTTAAAATCTCCTTTTAATCTCGACTAACCATCTCCTGAATTTACCTCACAAAACATAGATTAAGTTACGTAGATAACCTTAAAGACTTTGGCAAAGTTTGAATTTCTGAATAAACGTTCAGGAGAAGCGGTATAAATTCAGCTGTGATTTAACGGTAAAGTAATGTTTAATCTTTGCTTTGGTTATATAGGGAAAATTGAGGGATATTTTTGAATGCGCAATTTGCCTGCAGTCATACCGGCTTGTATTTAATGAGAAATTTGAGTTGTYCAATGCAGTAAATTCAACATCTGGAATTTTTCGCAAAGAACAATTCACCTGAATTTTGAAACTATATCTTCATTAGTTCAAAGTGCTCAGGGGGCTATAGAAAAAGGCCGAAAAACTTCAAAGCATATATAATCCAAACTGAATTTATTATATCCGTACAATATTTAAATTAGTTAGTTCATCATTGCATTACAGTGAATCTGCGGTTAATTTTTCGTTTACGACAACAATGGGATACCGTATCAGCCTCCTTAAATTTTCTTTCATTTTCCATTTGTAGCTCGATCGAATTAGTACTTAGTCCCTGAAGAACTCACTATTGCGCGTGGGACTAAACTTATTATTATTTTTTTGGCGGCGAGAGATAACTTTTTCTTTAGACAACGTAAAATAACTTTTTTCAATCAAATATATTTATTGATAAAATTCTCTGCATTGTCGGTTCAAAAACGTTGCTATAGAAACACTAAGCTTTGAAAACCTTGAACCTGACTCTAAGTCGTGAGAATATTCAGACTTTGAAACWTCTAGATTCAGTGACTGGTGCTTGAAAAATTCAGTTCATATCCATTGATCCAAGATYRAATCTCTCAAACGTACTATAWCCTCTCTTGTGCAATGTAGCATCGCGATAAATTTGGGTAAAGGAATTTGGCTATCGCATTGAGTTGAATTTCAGTCAAATTTCATTCATAATTGATAATTTTCAGGGTAAAATTATCTTTTTATTTGTCAAGAGAGTGTTAAATTTGCCTAATGGTGCTAGGAACTTGAATTATACTTTTGTTTACACAATTTAAGTTATGCAAATTACTTTAGATATACAACGCGCTCTCTCATTGGCTGGTGAACAATATACATCACTGACACACTCAAGCGGGACACTTGAAAGAGTTCAAGTCGAGCGAGTACCAAAAAAATTATTACGCTAAATAATCTGTGCAAAATCCTTTCATTATAATAAAATATCTGGTATTTTAAATTGTGTTTTTTGTTTATTTGCTTGTTTCTTTTTATCTGTTTCGTGGAGTTCATGTGCCGACAAAAAGCGCGGGAAAATATCGTTTTTAACGCGCGCGCACGCMTTTGGCGGGAAACTAGCTTTAATGCATCTTTAATCTTTGATATCCGAGTTCAGTGATATACAATATGCCAAACTTTTAGGTATTGTTTATTTTAAGAATGGAAGTCACTTCTATTAATAACTCACTTTCAACGGATTCAAACGGAAGATTGAAAAGACAAAACATTATTTTATCAAAAGGTAAYTTAAAATGTCTTCAAAGTGCATGAGAAGCTCAGATAGAAACAGTTAACAAACACAGTTTCATTAGCGCCGAMCCATTGTAAATTCTCTAGGTGGGGTAAACATGATAAGTCTCTTCACAGGGAAATGAGACATTGCGTGTCTTAGCTTAATGAATAATGCTCTCCTTTTGAATGGCATGCCATTCATCTGTTTACATTTTTTAACTCAAAATCACACGTCAGTTTTGACTGGCTTGGACGGAAGTAAACTCGCTACGGGATCATGCCTTCAGACTCGCTCGCGGCATTTTCTGTTCAATAGATTGCAAAAGAATGATCATAATCGAAAAACGAGTATTGCATTTCAATGTAAAAAGATTTTTTCATATTATTAAAAAAAATAAGAAAAACCCAGCTTGAATAAATGGAATTTAACAATTTTTCACATCGAAAACTTTACCTAGTATAGTACGTGAATAGCCAATCACAGAGCTRGTTATATCCTCAGCCGGCGAGATGAGCCCAAGAGGGGGGTCATTGTATTAGCATAGGGGTMATATAAATAAGTGGTTTATTTGGCACACCCATCTCTACGGAGCAGTTGAGCGAAGGTACGGTTAAATAATATCAAAATGTACTCATTTGAATCACTAGTATTCCTTAATCATGRCCAATTCGACAAGTTCAAGGTGTATTTTATTTGCTTGAGGAAAATGGCAGTGAATTTCTCCTTGGTTTTACCACAAGCGAGCAGTCAGTTGGAGAGTTGTAAAATACTTCAACTTGCACGGAAATGCTAACGTGGTAGATTGAAAATTCCACAAGGATTTTGAATATGTATTGTCATATATAATCTTGTATATTTACTGAGCTATCATTCGGTAATTTATTACGGGTTWGCACGAATTCTTGACAAAGTAATGACAACTTTTCTTCTTATTTCCAGGTCCATTTGCTACGATTTTGGCGGCATTCGACTCGTTAACTTCACTTTCCATTTGATACAGTCGTCCATATAGAGTCAAACCATTCAATAMTTAAATTAAAATGCCTAAGACTGTAAGTAAAGCTTTAGTTTTGAACCTAATCTTGCTTTCCTGCAATTGTTCGCGTGCCAAATCAATATGGCCGCCGTAGCACGAGTTTTTTTCGCCAAGTATCAAATTACAAATGTTCAAATTTGTTCTTTTATTTAGAACAACGTTAAAGTTACTTGCCCTGACGCTGAACTGGAATTTGCCATTCAACAAAGCACGACTGGAAAGCAGCTTTTCGACCAGGTTGGGTTTTGCAAAATAAAAAATAACTTAACGTGTTGAAATCTGATTGAGCTGTCTGCCAACGTGGCCTTGATTTWTGTTGATCTAAAATACGAAGCTAAAGCAGGAATTTTATTCAGTTTTTAACACGATAATAATATCCATTCCCTAGGTCATTAAGACGCTTGGACTACGTGAGATTTGGTTCTATGGGTTAAGCTACGAAGACGAGAAAGGCTACCACACATGGTTAAAACTGAACAAAAAAGTAAGTTCAAAAATTATTCAATTTCTTATATCAATATTTCCCAATTTGAAACGCTGGGTTTATTTACCGATTTTCATTGTTTTGGTGTATTAATCGCTTCTCGTCACCTATACATTTGAAATTTTTATGTTGTGTATGTCTTTTCCTATTGGTCAATGCTATCAACATCGCTCTGTGATTTTGTATACAAACTAGTGCACYACAATTATGTTCTTTGTCACTTTTCATAATCTGAATGACAAAAGAACCTTTAATCGTTCCCAGGATAYCATGTTCTGTGACAWTGTTATGTTCTATTCATCAAATYTCTTTCCGATGAAGTGTTCGACAGAAATAGATTGTGTCAATTTCGCATAAAACTCTAGTATCAATTTTCTCGAAAGAGAATATTCTTGTTCGATCTGTAATCGAACATTTGATCTAATTAATTTGCTATGTTTCTTGTATTTTGATTAATTTCTAATCGTTCCGCTTCATTCGCTGCAATTTGATAATCCCAGTCTTTATAGCTGATACATCACTTATAGAGATGTGCACATCATATCTGCTTTTCAAGTTCTAAGTGTTACCCTGATTCTCAAAATAATCCAATACCATAGTTTAAATTTCTTTCTGCACCAACAATTATTACAGCATATTTTGCCCTTATATTTTAGTTATTTTGATTTGTTTTAGTTCACCATATTTAAACCAAAAGGAATGCCAGGAGTTAGGTCAACCCTATCCCCCTAATATTTCTTATTTACCCTTGTCACTGCCAACGTCATAAATACATTGTAAGATAATTTCATCATGAGTCATTGGATTCAGTTGTATGGTTCATTGATCAACCTTTGTMTAAAATTCTTCATTGCTTACATAACATTGTTGGAGTTTACTAGAACATTTTTGTTTATGGAACATCATTTTTTTGCAATTATGTTGTGAAAAATTAAAAATGGAATGAAATGGTTAAAGAATTTGTCTTGAGTAATACTGCTGCAATCTTTACCCCCCCCCCCCCCCCCAAAAAAAAAACAATCTTGGCAAAAACATCTTACCTTTTACATCATTATATTTGGTGCATTATGGTAAAAATCATTCAAATTTTCACTCTTTTCCCTTAAAATAAGATTGCAAATGGAACAAAAAAAAGCTATGCATATTTCAGGTTATTAAAACCTGTCCTGAAGTTTGGTGACAGATTAAAGGTTTAACCTTGAAATATCAACTACCTATTTGTKGATATATTGATATAATATGTATTGACAGTTTAATTTCTTCAAAATATTGTATTGTATTCAAAAGCATTTTTCACTATAGACATTAAACATCACCATTATTTTCAATCAACACTGTAATGTCCGGGGAGATTGTTGGAGGAGGCACTTATTGATATTCCTTGTCAAATTTGGTTGCTTAGGGGGAGAATCTTGTTCAAGTGGATATCATCTTGCTGTTATTCCTTTAACTATGTTTATTCAATAGGTTGTATTATTTTTGCAGGTAACAAGCCAAGATATTAAAAAGGGTTCTCCTTTAGAATTCAACTTTGGTGTTAAGTTTTATCCTGAAGATGTTGCTGAAGAGCTTATCCAGAACAACACGAAAGTATGTTGAAAAAATCCTTATCTTGAGACCTGAAATAATTGTTAAAATCTTTGAGAACAGGATTTTTGCAGGGATTTTTAAACAGATACAAAATAAAGCACTTCAATTAGAGCTTACTAAGGTGTATTAAGTGTTTTAGATTTTTTGACTATTTCTTCAGCGTCATTTCACCTGAATTTTATGCATAATTTTCTATATTTTTCTGCATCATATCGAATGCTCTGTATGTAGTCTTTGGAAACCTAATCATATACTTATCCCCATTGTTTTTTTTAGAAATTCTTCTATAACCAAGTGAAGGAYGCAATTCTTAAAGATCAGATCTATTGTCCACCAGAGACCTGTGTTCTCCTGGCATCATATTCAGTAAGTACCCTGCTTTAGGTCCTGTTATTAGTTYAGCACCAAAGCTGTTGTTATGCTTTAACAATTTGTATGTTTGCATCTAGTGCCAAGCAAAGTGGGGAGATTGCGAGGAGTCGCCTTCAGAGTCSATTACCAACTTGGAGAAGTTCCTTCCTAATAGGTAAATTTATTCCTTCTAAAGTACTTGATTTTTGTGAAGAAAACAAATGGAAATTACTTTATTTCTTTCAGAGTTATCCAACAGCACAAACTTTCAAAAGACGAATGGAAAGATAGGATAACATCATGGTGGAAAGAACATAGTTACATGCTTAAGTGAGTGTGGATGGGCTGCCTGTGCCTCCCTCTTCTCTTCWTACTATTTTCTCCTTTATCTTTTCCTTTSCATGACCTCTGGACAAACATTTTTCCATACAATTTTGTAAAAAGATAAATTTAACACCATAAAAAAGCAGGTGAAATAACTTACTTTTTTACGATGTTAAATTTATCTTTTTACATAACTGTTTCTTTAGAAACACCGACGCAGCTCACACTAGTTTACCGCTAGTTCCCACCATTTTTCCATACAGTCCACCCACTCGGGCAATATACACAAGACATTGAACCAGCTTCTGTAGTAGACTTATAATAAATCATATCCATAATGACTGTTTCATAAAAATTAAAATTTTTCTTGGTCTTCAGACAAGATGCAATGTTGGAATATTTGAAAATTGCACAAGATCTTGAAATGTATGGTGTAAACTACTTTGATATCAAGAATAAGAAGGGAACTGAGTTGTTGCTGGGAGTTGATGCTCTAGGGCTGAACATCTATGAAAAAGAGGACAAGTAAGTTGWTTTATTTAATAACTGCYCTCTTCGCATTGAAYCTTGAACACAGGGTTCGTACAGTCTTGAAAAGTCCTTGAWTTTTGAYCTACGTTCTCAAATAAAATGTTCAAATAAAATGTTCTCAAACAAAGTTGACTGCAATGTTCTTATTGTTMTGTTTGGTAAGACACAGGTTTAGTAAGTTTACTAACTGTGTCTTTCTCTTTGTAATTGGTGTCCTTGAAAATTGAATATTAATCCTTAAAAAGTCTGTGAATTTTGTATGAAAAAATCTGTACAAACCCTGTGAATATGAATGTGCGTATATAGCTAATACATCGAAATGATGACAACTGCACAGTTGCAGACATSTCTCTCCTGCCGGGAAAAGTAATTATTCAAGGGTTCTTTACACAAGTTTGTTCATCATTCTCTGCTGGTGATTGTCATTACGTTTCAGGGAAAATTGGACTTTAGAATTAAACTTTGGCTTCAATGTTATCCTTTCTGATTTCAGACTTACTCCTAAGATTGGTTTCCCATGGAGTGAAATCCGAAACATCTCGTTCAACGACAAGAAGTTTGTCATCAAACCCATTGATAAAAAAGCACCAGTAAGTACGCAACAAGATCAACAATAACAACAACATCACCAACAACAATGACAACAACACCACCACCACTACCACCAACAACAATAATAGCAACAAATATAATAATAAGAATAAAAGCAACAACACAAGAGCAACAACAACAACAGCAATTTCTTCAATAATGATAAATATTATCATGATGATAGGTAGTAATTAACATTTTATTGTGCTTATTTATACTAATCTCTGTATAAACATTTCCCAGGACTTTATCTTTTTTACTGCTCGCCTTCGAATAAACAAGAGAATCTTGGCACTTTGCATGGGTAACCATGAACTGTACATGCGCCGTCGTAAACCAGATACCATTGAAGTTCAGCAGATGAGGAAACAGGCTCAAGAAGAAAGAGACGCAGAGCTATTAGTGGTGTAAGTCAAATAAAAAACAATGAAAACAATAACATTATCAACTAATTCATCAGCATCAATAATGACAGTGGAACATCGTAAGCCAAAACGATAAAAACTGACATTTTATAACATAATGACAGCAACAACAACAACATCACTAACAACAAGAACAGCATCGCTTACAACAACAACAACAACATGAGGAATATCAACAACAAATGGCAGAAACAACAACAATAACAACAACAGCTTAAGCTTTGGGAAATAAATACAACTTAATTCCCAGAGCAATACTCCAATTTAGAGTTCTGATTTGCTCTGTGCCTCAAAGCAACATATTCTTTTGTTTCATTGATAGTCTGAGAAAGTGCATTTGTAAAGAAAGACAATGAATTTGATTTGAAATCTAACACTTTTACGCTCACAATAAGGAATATTTTGTGCACAAATGAGGCTAACACAGAGCATTGGAGAATTCGAAACTAGATTATTGTGTAATGTTTGAATCATCATTTGTGCATTACAGCAAAGAAAGAAAGAGAATGAGGGAAGCTCAAGAAGCCTCTTTGCAAGAGAAGCGTGAAGCAGAAGAAAAGCTCCGACTAGCCCAGGAAGAACTGGAAAAGACCAAAACCCAGCAGAAACAGATTGAAGAGAATCTCCACAAGATGCAGACAGAGAAGGAAGAGAGCGACAGGAGGTTAGATGAGTTGGTTTCAAAGCAGAATGAACAAGAAGAACGAATGAAACGACTCCAGGAAGAGAAGGACTCCGTGGAACTTGAATTCAAGAAGGCACAGGAGGAGCATGATGCCATGGTGGGTTCKTAAACAATTGAAATTATAAATTAGTGAGGTATTATACTATATTATATGTTCTTAATTATAGAGTGCTGAAGAGAAGGCTGCCAATGCAGCAAGAATGGAGGAGATGAGATTGCAAATGGAGGAACAGCAACAGAAGGTAATGACATTATTTAGAGATTTGTGGTTGCTTTTTTGCAGGCATTGTCTGTTATCTTGCTGTGAATGAGCAAAGCGAAGCGGCAGCAAACAAATCAGTACATAGCGGGATCCCTGTGTCACAGGATCATATTATGTGGTCAAACTTTGAGCTTTTGTYGGGTCGTCTGCAATGGATGATTCAAGATGGCAGCCAATCTTGTGCCCTGTTTCTTATCTAGCAGTTTGGGGACGAGGCTGCATCAAGGCCTGTCCCCAAGCAAGTAATTGGTACTCAACCTCAAACATGAGGTTCCTTRGATTGTTATAATTGGACTTAGTTATCGTGYTCCAATTTGCTGAAACTGTTTATTTCAGATCAATATATTACAGACAAACCTCCAGGCACMTAACTTGCAACAGAAACTTCTTTTCTTACCTTTTGAATCTTATGGGAATGATTGAAAAAAGRAATTAGACTATTTTTGTCTTTTGTACTTGCAAGTTCTTTGGGTGTACAGCTTGCAGCTGTGAACTGCGATGACAGTTAACAAAAGCTGTAACAAGTGGAAAGAGATCTGTACATTTTTGTGGATTCAGTTGACTAAAACTCCTTTGTTCATTCCACTTGGSACTTCAATTTAATGGTGAAAGTTGTTATTTAAAGAAAATTTGCTTACTTTCACTTCTCAAGACTTAACTTTGTGTGGAGCACATTCTATCTTCACAAACTCGACAAAAATATCTTTGTCTTCTTGTACTTTCCTTCTTGTTTTGGGCTGGAAAATTCTACAAAATAACTGTGTATTTAATGATACATCTTAGCAACATTTAGACCTTGGGGCATATRGCATTCCTGCTTTAACAAACTTGACAAATTACAACTTAAGTTCTTGTAAATGACAACAGTCTATGAAATAACTTCCCCGTATTCTATATTTTCCCTTCTAAGCATTGCATCAAGACATTATTATTTTACTCTTTTGACAAAACACACTTTATAACTATAGTGTTTTGTGAAATWTTTTGCCAGCATTCTTCATATTGGTTAAATCCAATTTTGAAAGACTTTTTAAATCAATGCAGTGGTCTGCCTGAGGATTAACAGATGAGACTGCTGTACCACTGTGATGGAGGTGGTCAGCAGTCTTGAGGACTTGTGTCCTCATAAGCCTTCTTGTAGGCATACATACCCAAACCTATTTGTGCTTTGTAAAAGAAAATTTCTTTAATTCACTCCCATTTCAGCAATCCCCCAGGTGTATTTATTCTTTGTTCATGCATCTCTTTCATTTTTTTTTTGTTCTTAGCTTGCTAGGGCTAAATCTGAAGCAGATAAGACTGCCCTTAAACTTAATAAACTAACTATCCTCTACAGTCGGTTRGGAAAGGTATGGTTTGCATGTGGCATGGAAGGCATGTTAAAATCTCTTTCCTGTCTAGTTCAGTTTAYTTTACTTTGTCCTGTCTGCAGGGTTATCTTAATGATTGTGTGACTAAAGATGCRTTTTTGGTATCAGGAGATTGAAGTTATGRATTMTTCTTTRCCATTCACCAAGTTTGATATTGTTCAAAGTATCTTGTTAGATCTCCTAGCTTCCCTCTGTTGCATGTTAGTTTGTGAAGAGACGTGGACATYGTTGGACAAGTCTATATTTATTAATATTTTAAAGTGCCTATGACGCCTGACAAAAAATTCTTWTTCTCTGRGATCTGATTCTATATAAAAAGTAATTGAATGGTGAKATATTCCTGCATTTCAGTGTTGCGTCTTTGAGTGAACTAAGGTTCAGTCTTACARATATGTTAATAAAAATGATGTCAAAGAAGGCTTCATTAGATATAKAAACTTTGAATGGCTTCATGGCYTTAAATTTATCGTATGCAATGTAGGAAATAACCATATTCCCAGATGGCGTTTATGAGCGACTGTTTCAAAGTTCATTTGCACAAGATTCTTAGGGACTTTTATTTAAATGTGTTTATAGATTAACATGGCCAATGAAGAACATAGCAAGCAAAGAGAAGAAATCAGTAGCTTGAAGGTCACGCTGGAACAAAAAGAGGTTGAGCGACAAGCTATGGAGGAGGAAGTAAAGGCTGTCAGTGCRGACATGCAACATACTGAAAACATTCAAAATGACAGGTCAGAGGAATTCCGCGAAACTTTTGTGAAGAAGGAGGACAAGATGGAACAACTGGCTGTAAGGAAACCATAGATACTATTATTATTATCATTATTATTATCATWYTCATTYTCATTATCATATCATAATCAATGTTATTATCATAAGCATTATCGTTATCAATATCATATGCACAAGAATTGACATAAGCATAATCATTATCATATGCATAAACATTGATATAAGCATAATCATCGCTTTTGATCTTTTTTATTGTTAAAAAGCTCTATCAAGTAAATAAATTATTATTATTATTATTAATCATAATCAATATAATCCTTATCATTATTTTTGTCATTATCGTTATCATTCTCATTATCGTTATCATTCTCATTGTCATTATCAATGTCATTATCATTAGCATTGACATTATTATTACCATTACTGTCATTATTTGTTTTCAACCCAATACAAAAGGCCCCCTGAAATAAACTTCAATTAGAACCTGTGTAAAACCTAGCAAGCTATCATTCAAATCTGAAACAATACACATTTTTCAAATATGAATATTTCATCAATGAATTTATAAATTATGCCTTAATGAAATAGTCCCAGAAGAGTCTTGTTATTCTTTTAAGCCAGGGAACCCAGATTGAAGTTGTTTGTGCTATAGAGAAATTGTGGATTGAAACTGCTTTACTTTCTTTTAGAAACTAAGTGCTGAGCTTGCTGAATCCAAGACAGATAACACAAAGTTGGACCACCTTCATGCCGAGAATGTTAAGCAGGGACGAGACAAATACAAGACTCTAAAAAACATAAGACAAGGAAACACTAAACAGAGAGTTGATCAGTTTGAGAACTTGTAAGCCATATACTAAGGTATGTATGCAGTACAGACAATAATAGTGTAACCTCGTTATTCCGGCCACTGAATGGACCTCAAAAAGTGGCCGTTTTTAACGGGGTTGATGTATTAACCAAGCAGAAATGTATGACGGGTTTAATTCAACGGTTATCTAAAATTCTGGTCGTCATAACGAAGTGACCATAGAGTGATCACACTTAATCCGTGCAACTGTACAAACTAAATAGTGCTATTTAGTTGTATTTAGTAAATCGTGCATGCGGTACGAAAATTATTGCACTTAATCCGTGCAACTGTACAAACTAAATAGTGCTATTTAGTTGTATTTAGTAAATCGTGCATGCGGTACGAAAATTATTGCACTTAATCCGTGCAACTGTACAAACTAAATAGTGCTATTTAGTTGTATTTAGTAAATCGTGCATGCGGTACGAAAATTATATTGAATTGATACAAATGAAGCATTCAATACCGTCTTGCTTCAGGTCCACTTTTAGTACAAATTAATACTACTTAGATTTTGTACAGTTACTAATATTTAGCAGTGAATTGTGCAAAGTTCTGCACATATTTAGTGTTTAGACTCTACTATTTTGTAAAACTATTTGTTTGTATTACAGACGCTAAAGACATCCTTTACTGGGCTGCCTGTGCTTAATCTAATTCCTTTAATAATATTGGAATATACCCACAAGATTGTCATTTTCGACAAATATTACAATGATAGCTGCATCCACAGTCTACTAAAGTCCAATATAAACACTGATTTGCCTCTAATGATGATTATAATTCATATATCGACACTAGAATTTGATATTAACAATAGATGTGATAACGTCATTTTGATAAAAAACTTTTCTTCGCTAAGAAAATTTACAAAGTGTACATGAAATCATATTAGAACTTAGGAACCACGCCTTGGTTATAGTTGCTAGAGGACTGGTGTAAATTGAGTTTTGTTTAGTCGTTAGCAAGGGTATGGAYTGTTTATGAGSTTTTTGCAGTGTCATACTTCACGTTATGTAACGAAAGGCACTCGAGATGTCATYCAGTATTTCTACATCAATTGACGTCATTTTGTGTCACGCAAAATGTCWTACGAGTTTTCTCAGTACGTTTATGTGTAAGGTAATGGTCGTGTTAAGCAGCTATCGATTTCTTTTTAAGGACGGTTTGCGTGACATGTTGTCATTGTGTGATTTCATTATAAAAATTCACTTGTCACGCAATCATCCTTAGAMTGTGAATCAATTTACACCCGTTCTTACGGCTTTGCAAGTAATAAAGATGATCATTGTCAACCGGTATAAATTAATGTATTAAGGTAGAATTTGGAATTACTCAATGTCAAAAATTAAGAATGTTTTCGTTGAAATTTTTTACAAAATAGAATGTTGTGCATTTAAAGTAATATTTTATTATACTATCTTACAGTGCGTTGGAATGTTTCTCTTTTCTTGGATTCCTGTGGAATATTTGTCCGTGTGGGGACTTGAACTAGCCTGTTTGTTCCCAGAACCCAGTGGCTGTCAAGTGATTTCATGTCGTTGGAATGTTTTCATTATGCTTGCAAATTGTTTTTCATAATGTTCAGAACAGCAATAAAGAGAGCACGAAAAACAATTCCCCGCTAAAAAGGCTTATTTTTTTTTCTAGAATTCATTTCTTTTAACTTTCCCTTCCACTTCCTAATTTCCAACCATTCAATTTTACTCTTGCAATTCTTTTCACTTTTTAGATTCTTTTGTATTTGTTTTGTCACATCTCATAAAACTTCGCGGGGCGCATTCGTGTAGTTTGCATAATGGAATAAGTGTAGGAGTTGAGGAACTTAAAGCAAATCCGGTCGAACCATTGAAAATCAGGAGAATTTAGTAGTAAATCTACTGAAGGTTATTTGCGAAGTAACGGACTAACCCCTAAGAGGGATATTTCTCRGCCAGGTATGGACAAAAGTTTGAAAAATATAAATGTTTTCAATAACTGCTATGTTAATTTTAGTTYCACCTGTATTTGAATATAAAGCCAATGAATTTTGTAGAGTTGTGGCACTCGCGATTGAATTTCTAAGTATTTGAAGCGCGACCTTTTTTTTCTAAGTTTTTACGAAGAAAAAGATTTGGACAATCCGAAGTTTTCTAACTACAAAATGTACGAAACGCTTTAAAAGGACTTCAACAATCTTTTCATTAAGGTCGACTTGTTTGAGTAATTAAAAATTTCTGCTAAAAATCATTTTATAAGATTTGACTATTTCAAATTCATCGGTTAAAAAAATGGAGAAAAACATAGTTGACTCCCGTTAAATCAATACGCTCCAAATCTTTTTTTCCCCATCGACACAAAACATCCAAGTATTTAAAAGGTTTTGACGTGTCCGTTATATTTGTTCGTTACGTACGTAGATATCGATACGTACGCTTATTGACGTTGCTTGGTCAGTTTGGAAAATACGTAAGGTTATGACCTCTAAAATGTTGAAAAAAATGCCACCATTTTGTGTTTTTTTCTCAGTTAGTTTCACTACGTAAACAAAGCGTTAAAAATGACGTCATCAGTTTCAGGGATCCATATTCCGTTAAATAGTCAGTCAACAAAGAAAACATTGAAATGGGATTCTGTTAGCATTCATGTCTGAAGTAGTTACTCAAACCCGTGAAACATTTAGTAATACTCCAGTTAAAACATACAGTGTAAGAACAATCCCAATAACGCCTGCTAACTAGTGATTTACTGACTATTTCACGGGTCATGGGTTGCGTCTTTTCGAGATTTAGTTTCAATGTATTACACCATTAAGGCCCATTTTTGCAGCGCGATAATCGCCACTTTGTTATCGCGCAACTAAAATCGTACGTGTAAACAGCCCTGCGATTGTTGCGGCGATGGAAAAGTCGCCGCGAATTTGCAGCCAATTTTCAAGCATGTTCGAAACTCGCAGGCGATGGTCGTGCGACGATATCCGCGAAAATCGCTCTGCAAAAATCGCAAGTCACTGACGACAAAAAAAGTAAGGATACTTTGCACTCTGAATCTAAATACGGTGAAATACAAAATCTTGCGAAAATATTTCATGGAATCCGCGGAACCCAAGYATTGAAATKCACGGATTCTGTTTCACCTGCGAACGAAGCCTAAATCCGTGAATCAAAATCTAYCTGTTAGAGTSTAAAAGTCGAAAAGACACAGACAAAAACAATAGATGTCCATTTAGCCAGCGTTGACAGGCCTTCCTAARCTCTCCGAGGGGGTTTGGTTCCGACCGGCTAGGAACGCCTGCTGACAAATGGCTATATGGGTAGAAAACCGCTTACTTTGGCTTTTACTAGATATATACCTTGGATTCCTTGGACGGGATTGGACGTGGGCTACTTAATGAATACAATTGACCATTTAAACTTGAATCATCTCTATTCCAAGGAATATCAATAATTAAACATTTTAGTTTGAATTGCTATTGTAGACACTTTGGCGTCTTGGCGGGAATCTTTATTGAAATCATCAAATTGAACAATAGTAGGTCYACTTTTGACCAAAATAGGGAATCATTTAAAATGCCGAGACGCCACAACGAACTGTGGCTATAAACTTTTATAAAGTCAACTTCAGAATTCAGATGAAAAACATGGAAAAAGTGTAAAATATAAAAAGTGTATTATAAATTTTATGTTCCATGTAAAAGCGTTGAAATAGATTTATTGTCAACATATTTTCCTATCAGATATTTTGAAATAAGTAAGTTTGACTTGATTTTGTGTGAAACTTTTGATATTATTCATTTATTCATCATTTCAAGGCAGTTGAATTATTCGGTAATATTCTTTGCTAAATGTTTCATTAGTAATTCGGATGCTTCATTAAACTTTTACGGTTCTCTAAGCGAATTTACGCACGTAAGGGCGATTTTAATTCTCATAGCAATTCTTTTCCTACGGTTATACGTACACCCGAGCCTAAATCCGTACGTAACCGGTGCGTAAACGCTGCGTTTGCTACAGGAATTAAGCTTTGTTTATTATTTATAAGCGGGATGCCTGAACTTAAACAAACCTGAGCAAAATATACCTGTATGGTTATAACATAAACACAAGACGCGAAAACTGATCTTCTCTCGAATTTTTGCTTAATTTTGGACAATTTTCCTTCACTCAAACAAACAAAAAATTACTTCAGGAATACCTGTAGTTAAAGAAATCAAACGTCTAAGAGGATTTCACGTCGGTTCTCCGCACAGAAGGAGATTATTTTGAAAATTTAATGTTAATTTGACGGCACACCTCTAAAGTCTTCAAAAGCGTCTCAATTTAAGGTAGGTTTGAATTTTTTCCTTCAAATTTTATCAAAGAAAAAATTTTTTTTGGAAGTTTTAAGGGTTGCAAGTACTGAAATATCTATTTGAGTTTTCGAAAAGTTTTCATTCGTGTCATGAAGATTGTTTATATGAAGTTATGTTACAATAGACAGAATATGAATTGCAAAAGCTACAAAATTAACTGTTTTATTATTCAAATTTTCGAAAAATCTTTACAAGACTTTAGCGCTATTTATCTTAAACATATCTTATTTAATTTTGGTCTATTTGATGAATTGATTGCCAGCGAAATACTTTGTAATTTTATCAAAATAATAAACCGGTTTGAATCAAAACATCGGCTGAAGAACAGTTCTCTATCTTGTAAAAACAAGTATTATTGTGCTCGCAAACTGTACTGATGTAATACATTGCTTTTTCAGCATTTTCTTCTCTTTCTTTCACATCATCCCACATCAAAATGCCTAAAAATGTAAGTAATGTCAAATAGCATGAATTAAAGCACCTTACTTGCATGGAATTTAGACAAAGCACTCCTTAAAGATTGAAAATGTTTCGAAAAAAGGTAAAGAAACTTAATTATTAGTTTATTTAGATTTCAAATAACTCATTCACACTACATTAATACACTTTTTTGATTAAAACGCGTTGTCGATGGCCGGGTCTCAACCCGATAGGGATTATGGATAAAATAACAAGTAACGATGGAGAGTAAGCTGGTTACGCTTTGTTAAAAGATTTTTCGTCCATGATTCTTTGCACGCGGTCCGGTCATCTTGTGCACTCCTCTTCTCTCCTTACACTTTATTCAACATCACAGAAAATCTTACTACTTAAATGTTATAAAGTTTATCACAGCTGTAAGACGGATTTACACCTGGTACGATTGTCTCTTACGACTTGTAGTATACGATTTTCCTACATTTTCCTATATACAGCCTTTTGCACAAATTATGAGACATTTTTATATATATAAATATACCTAACCAAATATCAAAAACACCCAAGAAATTATGGGATACCGTCGCTGATATTTTGTCTGTAACAACCTGATGCTAGGCAATCATGACAAAATATCAGCGACGGTATCCCATAATTTCTTGGGTGTTTTTGATATTTGGTTAGGTATATTTATATATATAAAAATGTCTCATAATTTGTGCAAAAGGCTGTAAGTCGTAATATATATACATTTTCCTATATAAGTCGTATTTTAAGCCGTGGTTCAAAGTCCTATACTACAAGTCGTAGGTTGTGTACTAGTGTTGTAGGCAAGTCGTAGGGGCATTTAGGACGCGATTCGAGTCGTATACCACAAGTCGCACGCGACAATCGTATATACTGTGTAAATCGTCCTTTATTAAGCGAATTGACTTTAAGTAAGGAGACAAATTCATGGAGGACTATTTTTACATGAAAAAGTGCGAGGACTACGTTTCTCAAAATGATTTATAATACAAAAATCTTGCACTTTTTGAAAGATTCCATAGTAATTGTCATTAACATTTTCAGAGTCCTATGAACGTCGTAGTTTCGACTAAAGATGCAAGACTTGAGCTTACAATCATGTCTACAACGACAGGAAAACAGCTCTTCGACCAGGTAAGTGTGAATTCCAGTTATTCCTGGTCTGAACGTGACGTCATCGACGCCATGTTGGAAGTAAAGACACCAAAGCTTTCAATTCTCGTTCATTTCGCATCCAACATGGCGGCGATAGGTTTGCTTTTTACTTTTCAAAGTTCATTTGGTTGCACACAAAAAATTTCTGTTCGTGATTTTGAGTTTGGAAGGAAGACCGAAGCTAAACCAAGTTAAACTTCTCATTTGACTTCATTTGTAACAATTAATTCCTTCTTGCGTCAGGTTGTCCGAACGATTGGTCTACGAGAGATTTGGTTCTTTGGACTTAAGTACATCGATAATAAAGGACAAATCGCTTGGGTCAAACTTACTAAAAAGGTAACAGTTATCGTTATTGATCTTACATTTRTTCTTCATTTTCACTGACATTTATTGAGATAAACGCTATTCTTGGAAATTCCCTTCTTATGGTGAAAACTCTTTGGAAGCTATAAGAGAACAACAATTCTTCTATGTTGGGAAATCATTATGTTGAGAAAGTAAAACTCATTCGTCCTTCAGAAAAATTTCCTCTTTAGACAACTATCCGTTTATGAATATCCTTTTCCCTAGCAATTTTTGGAATAGACTTATTTCATTGCTATACACTTCAATTTTCTCTCATTCCTCTCGACAACCGCGTTTAGATATCGGCTCATGAAGATCTAAAGAAGGCGAATCCAATGGAGTTCACATTTGAAGTCAAATTCTTTCCTGAAGCAGTCGAAGAGGAGCTTATCCAAGAAGTTACAAAGGTTTGTGTAAAATGTGAAAATCAAGGAAAGGAGATGGAAGAGGTGGAGAAAGCAGGTTTTTGAAAGGCTTTTCTTTCTTTTGCCACTTCCATCTTCTTTTAATTTTGACGAGCACGTGAGCTCTTCCTTCTCCATCCCGCGTCCATGCTTACTACTTAGCTAGGGAAACACCTTCCATTGAATTACGTATCTGTTGATGTTATATATGAGCTAGTATTTCATAATACTCAGTGAGTAAAAGACGTTCGCGAGTGAAAAAAGCTTTGTATTGAAGTCTTTTAAGAAAGAAATCAATAAAATGATAAAAAATAGAAAGAAAAAATGGTAGTTAAAATTATTAATCATGATTTCCCGTTCCACAAGAGGCTGTTAATTCCCATGTCTCTGCATTCGTAGCCATGCATTTTGAGGGATCTTTTTGTGTCATTGCATGTATGCGGAATTATTTCTGAACAGCACACTCGTTTATCTCTTTGCAGCGTTTATTTTTTCTTCAAATCAAAGACGCTATCCTCAATGATGAGATATATTGTCCTGCAGAAACGTGTATTCTCCTAGCGTCATATGCAGTAAGTGTATAATACACATTGTTCATGTTTTGTCGTGCAGTTGGTGATAACTAGGATCGATATCAGGACGGAAAGGATATACACCAGAATGTTTCGTTGCCACTCCGGCTAAGAAATGTTTCGCCGACTTTCCTGTAGTAACAATCAACATGAGATGTCTTTGGATGGCCGTGATCATCAAATGTTAATGGAACATGGATAGCCGAGCATATAAAGCATCTTGGATGGAGTTATGAAGCTGTTTTGCTCAGTGCTACCTTGTGTGATGGTGTTTTGAGTTTTTTTCTCGATGGAGCATCAAACATGTTGAATGGAGTTTGAAGTTTGCTATTAAGTCTCATCAAATCCTACTGATAAAAATGCTTTTTATTTGTCTTTCATTCTAGTGCCAGGCGAAGTACGGCGACTACCAGATTACAAGTGATATCACTCTCGACAAACTGTTTCCCGAAAGGTATTGTTTCAGTCYATGATAATCTCTCTTTTCTTATGGCTGAGTCTACCGTTACGCCTACGATTGCACTTGAGCTAATGCTGGCGCACATTCTTATGCATGTTTTTCTGCTTGTGTTTGTAACGGTCTCTCGTTACATGTAGATTCCTGTGTAATTCTGTAGAGCTCAAAGTTTTCTTTCTGATTTCTTAGAATAATTCTTCAGCATGAGTTGAGCAAAGAGGAGTGGATCAATAAGATACAAACTTGGTGGCTAGACCATGGTCAAATGTTAAAGTAAGTTCTATCTTTAGACGCTTTCTTCTTTTTCTCTCCCTTCTTCATTAATTTTATCCTTTCATTTTGAATTCGGAATTACTACAATTCAGTACTAGTATTACTTATAGCACTGCCTAATAGACAACTATTTAAATTGTTTGCACTCTACCAGTCAGTTATATTATGTATTTGTAATCATCTGTAGAGAAGACGCGATGGTGGAGTACTTGAAACTCGCTCAAGATTTGGAAATGTATGGAGTGAATTATTTTGAGATCAAGAACAAGAAAGGGACTAAATTACTTCTTGGTGTTGATGCTCTTGGGCTAAATATCTATGAAATCACAGACAGGTATTGTAACGGGGCTGTAGTCAGCTCGCCACAGAAGCAGGCTCTCCTTTCACCTCCACCTCCACCTCCACCTAAACCCTCGACTGCATGTCATGACGACTTCGACTTTTAAGCATATTTTTCGCTTCATTTTCACGATTTACTCGATCGCATGCACACTATAATTCTTGCTCCTTTTACTTTTTTTCAGACTTACTCCTCAAATCGGTTTCCCGTGGAGAGAAATCGGAAACATCTCATTCAACGACAAGAAGTTCACTATTAAAGCTGTCGAAAAGAAAGCCCCGGTATGTACTAATCTAGGCCTGAGTGGTCTAAAAACTATTTTTATCTGTATTTTATTACTTCATCACTACTTTTTCTTGATTATAATAAAGTGGAGTGACTATATACGTGCCTGACCCCAGGAAGGCATAACAAATGCCCCGCTCACAAAGCACACAATTCAACTGAAGCTCATAGTAAAACTTAAATTGCTAAGAGAAATACTGGCAAATGCATGGCTCACAGACAGCAGGAGAAGTTATTCAAAGCCCGATTAGCGTTTATCCAGGGTTATCTGCATTCCATAGGTTTTTTAAAGATTTAACCCAGATTTGAACAATCCGACCCAGTAATTCAATCGGGAAAAAACACGATTCTAAGTTGAGTGCTTTTGGTGCATCTCAAGGACTATTCCTCAAATGCTGCTTTAATTTCAACAAAGAACTGGAAATTGTTTATTCCTTTAATGGGATCATACTGAAGAGTGCGTGGTTTGCTTCAAGTTTTGCCATGAAGTGCGCTCGTCGACCAATCATAGCGCGTGTTATATGAGTGCTAAATTATGACGTTTGCTCCATGTCCTCCATAAAGCGCGCTCGTCGACCAATCACAGCGCGTGTTATACGAGTGCTAAATTATGACGTTTGTTTTTAATCAGGACTTCGTATTCTTCTCCGAGCATCTGCGAATAAACAAGCGAATTCTTGCTCTCTGTATGGGAAACCACGAGCTGTATCTGCGCAGGCGCAAAGAAGACACAATCGAAGTGCAGCAAATGAGAGCACAGGAAAGAGAGCGAAGAGATGCGATTCTAATGGACAGGTAACGGAAAACAAATGGAAAACGAATGGAAGAGAATAGAATGAATGGGAATTTATATTAAATTAGATACATTGGTGCAAATATATATATATAAAAAAAAACAAATAATGAAACACTTTCCGGCGACAAATCAAACAGTTTGATCTGTCGCCGGAAGGAGTTTTGATTTTGATCTTTTTGGAGGTCATCGGCATGTATAAATTCCCTTTAAAAATAAAATTTAATGAGCAAATTAACGATCACGAAGTCGGCATGTTCTTTGGATGAGACACAGAATACAGAGCAAATGACAGAGAGGATGTGGCTAATGTTAGGTTAATTTTATCTCGTATAGGAAAGCTCTCAAAGATAGAGAAAAAGCAAATCAAGAAACAACTCGCGAGTATCTTAAACTCCAAGAAATAGTGAAACAGAGCGAACAAGAAAAAGAGAAAATTCGAGAAGGTAGAGTTGATTATAGCCATTATAACATGTTAATTTACAAAATCTAATTCAAAATCTTCTTCTCGTCTTTCTGTTATATTTTATACGCACAAGTCTATCTTGAAAGTACATGACATTCTGGGAAGCACATGTAATGTAATGCATGCACGAATCGGCACATTTTCAAAATAAAGTAAAATACAACGTATCACTGGAAAAAATCGCGCATTTTAAAGGTTGGAAATTTGATGTAAATATGATTTAAATTCGGAACACTTGGATAATATTTACATCAAATTTACAACCTTTAAAGTGCGCGATTTTTTCGAGAGTATGTAACAACCGCTGAAAGCTCTTAGAGCGGATTTCGTATGAGTGGGACACCGTTACCGCACGGTTACCGCACAGTTACCGCACCTGGCCTGCACAATTTTGGTGAACCAATGGGGCACTAGAATTTTGTTACGGTACGATTATGGGTCACAGTACAGTACCGTCCGTTTCCCACTCATACGAAATCCGCTCTAAGCTAACAAAAGTATTGTCTTTACATATATATTCATGCAGAAAACGAAAAACTACAAAGGCAGTTGGAATTGAAAGCAAAATTGGAGAAGAAACTGGAAGAGCTTGACAAGGAGCGAGCTGCAGAGAGAGAACGACTAAACCAGGAAAAGGAACAACTTCGTATCGAAAGCGAGAGAAAGGCAAAAGAGGCACAACGACTAAAAGAGGAAAACGAAAGGAAGGAGAGAGAAGCGAAGGAAATAGAAAATGAAGTAGGTCGATATTAAAGGCCGCCATCTTGAATTATAAAGAAATTATGGGATGTCCATAAGCACACATTGTTTATATATAGAGTATAAAGTGTCAACGAATTATTCTTTCCCTGATTATTCTATGATTTAACAGTCTTCTACACGGGCCGCCATCTTGAAAGGTAGCCGTGCCTTTACATCGAAGCGAGACGACTGTTAAGCGTGCAATGATAGAAACAAATTTACATCATTTTGTACACTTACATCATATTTACATCAAATTTTACAATCTCTAAAGTGCGCGCTTTTTTCCAGTGTCTAATTATGGTACATTGTATGATTTTTTTTCCTAATTTTGTCATAAATATTCCTCGTAGCGTTTACTTCAGGGACGAGCCAATGAGAAACTAGTA